AGGGAAATAGTGAAAAATGATCCAACGTAACCTTGAGTAAAAGTAATACTGCCCTCAGCTATTCTTCTATACTTCAGTTTGATTTCTGAATTCAAGTATCGTCTCCTGTCCAGTGTTGCATATCGTACTTCATGGCTTTTTAATAAATTATCTCACTTCCCATGCCATTACTTCTAGCAGCTCACGAGTTTAACAAATATGACAGGTATATTAGACAATTTTTACAGTGTGCTTGTGATCTTAGTGTTTATTAGTCACATAATTATGAGTTAAGTAAACATAGCAATACAATTGTAAATCCATATATATCGGAGCATATTAGGAAACAGAGTTACTCAATAATAATTTCTGCTCTTCAATCTCTACATATGTGCAACTGTATTATTTTATAACATTCAAGAAATCTTTTAATAAACTATTCAAGGATTAAAAAAAAATTCTGTTAAATTCAAAGGAAATGCATCTGCGCAACACTTTTCAACAAATAAACCAATATTCTACATTTCCACATACTGCCACCACTGTAGTATCTAAGCCTATTACATTCTCCAGGGGTGAAGTTCTTACTCTGTTGTTTAAAAGCCCAGTCATTGTTCTGTATCTCAACACGTATCTGTACATGTAGTGCTCCCAAGCACTACAGCATTATTTATAATTGCATTATTGGTACTGAGATAATCAAGGTTTAGGCCAGGGTCCTAGATATAAAAGGAGTCCTGCAACAAGTGTGTCTAATGTGGAATGTGACGTAGAACACAACAGGACGACAGCAGGGAAGCCGATGTTATTACCAACAGCTCGACACAGCAGTTTGCTGCTGTAAAGTTGTTCCCAGAAAAATGCTAATCACCGTAACTCGGTTGTACCTTACCAAGTGAAATGCACTGAGACCATTTTTACTTTCTGAAATGAGTTTTCTACAAGCAAGTTTCTCTATTTTTCAGACGGCAAATATTATCTCCTGGAGCTGCCATAATTATCCACTGCCACCATTAAGTTTGTTTAAAGGCCTTAAAAAACTAAACCAAATCCTGGTGCGCTTTTGGCCAGCAAAGGACAGGGGAAAAATGTAACCGTTTTCTGGAGAACAATGAATACCTTTTAATTAAATAAAGACCAGTCCCCCAGAAACATACTCCCCAAATTCCTAATACTACTTGTCAGTCTTCCTCTTATTAGATGTTTCTTGGCTGGTAAAATTGACTTGGCTTTGCATGAACACCAGAAGCATAAATACAGCAGGTGTTTACCATGTGAAATGCTACTTTTAGCCACCAGCAAATACCTGCTGTGAAATGAGAATCCAGCAGGTTGGATTTTGTAATAGGCCATAACCAGAAACGTCAATCAAACCTTGGATTTGCTCAAGAGTAAAGAGAAGCTCAGCATTCTCAGTCGAGTTCTAAGTGGACGTTTGTTCACATCACACCCACCATATAGTCTTGGCAGTGTCTGCTTAAGAAAAATCAAGTGACTGGAATAATAGGGATTTTGTAGGTCAAGACTGGAAGGTAGTGACACACCTGGGTGTAAACTCGCAACAGTGACACTACACCTCCGGCAAGTTGCAGGCAACACATATCCTTAAGGATACAGTGAATTTCAAGGATACATGCTACTCTTAACAAGGTAATAACTACTCCTTTAAGGACACACCAAGTGTTTTAAAACTGGGGTTTGATTTAGCTAAATCTACAGTTTCCAGTGCATTTCAAGAATAGCAGTATTATTGAATAGCTCATCATTTACCATTTCTCAAGCACGTTCGCTATGTCATACGAATATCTGCACTTAAAAGATAGAAAAAACAAAAAGAAACCTTGATTCAAAATGCGAAGCGGGGCCATTAGCAACTTCAATATGCTTATGTAAGAGGTTAGCATCATCTTCGGCAAGCTCCGGACCTTGGGCTAACTTCTGCCACTCTCTCCGTCTGTCATGAGGTGCCCTTGGCACTTTTTCTGGTTCATGAGGGCGATCTAGATTTTTCTGCTGCAGGAGAGTTGTGCAAACAAAACTGACAACTAAGACAGTGTTTTTTAATTAGTTGCATTTAAACATCAGCCACAGAATAATAAAAACTAATCCCAATTCAAGGGCAAAAAAAAATTACTTTCAGTCTAAATATGATAGATAAATCAAAAAGACTTCTAAGAGGCAGAAACTTCAGTTTAGTAGATAATTAGCTGAATAATACAGAAGAAAAAAACCCCTGTAAGTAGCTTTTTATTCTAAGTCTGAAATGAAATTATGAATATGACTTATATTTACTGTCTCTTTGTATGAAATATACAGGATAACAATGAAATAAAAAAGTAGCATTACCTTTGCAGAAGTGTTTGGTTACTTTCAAGAAAATACAAACAAAATGCTTTATTCCTACCAATTTCTTTCTAGTTTAGAGCAAACATATCTATTAAAATGTCATTCAAGCTTTTTCACCTGTAAGATTGTCAGATTTTTGTATTATAAAAGTGTTCCAGTGAAATTCTTTATGCTTGCTGTATTCCTCATTTCTTTATCTCTTTTGAGTTACTGCCAGAAGATTTACAAGTTCTTGCAAACCTGCTGTTAATTAAGACAGCTTGAAAGCTCTAGGCCCTTCTATATTACTATTTATTACTGGTATCAAATATTTATTTGATAAAATTGAGAGAATTGAATGAATACAAGTAGTTCTAGTTGAATGAAGATAAGTCTGTAAAGTTTGCATTGTTACTAATTGCATAACCAAAAACGTACCAAATCTGAAAGTAAACCCTTCCAGGAAAAAACCACCAGAAGCTGTATAAAGCTAACTTACATACCTTCTGCTTCCTCTTTTCTTTTCTTTTGTCCTCGGTGTCTTGCAACATTTTTTCCTTCCACAGATCAAAGAAGTAAGAAGGATTGGTATAAAACTTCAAACCCTCTTTTCCATCATCCCTGAAATACAATGATGCAAACAGTGCATGTTATTTGAGAACGTATGAATCCAAACATTAAGGCAAATGAAAGGCATATTAAGGAATACCTAATATCCCAGACGCTAAAGTTTTTTACTGAAGAGCATTAAAAAGATGAACATTGACTTTCTGTGCCGTCATTCTTTACTACCTCTCCTTGTATTCAAGGTCTCGGTTTTAGACAAGTAACTTTAACTCAAGCTGTAGATAAAAAAGACTGTCATAAATCAGAGAACTCGCATTTCAATGACTCAAATCTTGCTCTTAAAATAATGAGCCAATTTTTGTGGCTGCTCATGTTCAACAACTGATTCAAACAGCAAACAATATTCATTTCCATTAAAGACGTTTCTTTCTACATACTTAACTACTTATTTTCTTCACTTCGCATCCAGGAGTGTTATACAGCTTAATAAATACAGATAACAAAAGTGAGTTTTTCTTACTATGGTAAAATTTAAGTAAAGTGGAGTAAAGTTGTAATGCTTATAATGCCTTCTGCTGCCTGTATTCCTCCACAGTTTTCTAGTGTGGCTCCTTAAACATTCAAGTGCTACTCAACACGAGCGAGGTGTCTGGATATAGCGTCTCTATTACATAAAATAAGCTGGAAATTGGTTTTGATTAATTTCATTTTACTAACCTGTAAGGGGTGAGAATGTTAAGTGGAGGAGGCTGTTCACAAATGTCGTAAGTTTCTTGCAAAGGAATAGGCAGAGTTTTGCGGTCGAACAGCTGTTGATCTTGGATTGTGGAACTACGGAAAGCTTTCCTCATTGTAATGTCCTGCAGAGACACTGAAAGAGAATATTCCCATTAAAAGAAAAACACACCAAAGGCAGTTTATTTGGATTAATCTAGATTAATCAAGAAATGCTAGTTAGAGTACAAATGTTAAGCATTACTACTAGTACCTCACCCATCTTACAGCAAGTATAAATCCATCTAGCACTACTGCCACAGCAAGATATCATCAGACAATGCAAAAAACATGCTTGTAATGTTCTAGCACGTTACATTTTATTTAGCTCCACAGGAAATTTTTGCTCGCCTGGATATATCAGAACTCTGTGTCTCCAAAGTAGCTCAACAAATTGCTTACTGTAGCTATAAAATATCACTCTGTAGTTCGGAAGTACCTAATAACATTTACAAACTCCATTTCCTTTTGGAACTAAAAATTTATTCTCTATCTTGTAGAAGAGACTTTACCTTGATACTATTAGCAAGCCAAACTGAATTCCTAGGCAGCATTCCTAGCAGAATTCCTAGCAGCTCCACTGAAGGCCCACTGAGATGCCAAACCAGAAAATCACCTAAACTTATGCTACTGATATTGGTGATTTTAATGGGAGGTGATACTATTTTCCAACACACGAAATTAAGTTTTTTAATCAGACCGTTTAATCGAGATAAGACTTCTCTCTCTAATTTAGATATCTTGGATTTTTAAGGACAGTAGTTGGGAATAATCTCTTATCTTTATGTAAGATTCTCTCCCTCCCTCATCTTCAGTGACTTTGCAGCCAGTGTTAGACTTCCACAAGACAAAACAACCGCCCTTTTCATTGGTTTGGGCTTTATTTGAAAAAAAAAAAAAAGCATAAACAATATTGAAAAGAGTTTTAAGACATACTAGCAAAGAAAGTACTTTCAGCACATGCATTTTATCTACAAATAATATCTACAAATAACTATGTTTATTTTATAACAACAGGTTGCTAGTAATGCTCCTCTACTCAAGATGAGAGGGGCATCCCCTCCTCCCATATCACTAGGGCCTTTGGCAATAGTTTTTTAAAGGTGTGTCTGTTTAAGCCAAAAGGTGCATTTTACTCTGTATCTCTATGTATGCTCCTGTGTGTTACAGGAACCAAACGTACCTGCATACATGCACGCACGCACACACGCTGAATTTCTGTTGTATGATCACAACAGGGTAGAAAGCAGGATTTTTTTCCAGAGGGCTGTCTTACCTAAGAGTATTGGCAGCATCTTTTGTGAGGCTAAAGATGGGGTTTATTTGATTTTAAGTTTGGCTTTTGAAGTCTACTACAGTTGGCAAGTTTAGTGTTGCCGGAGTTGTTTCCTCCTTTTTACCCTTAGGTTCTGTTTCAGTACAGTGCCTTTTATTCTTTTTAATACCTTTAAATAGCTGCTCAGAAACCTTTTTAAGTGTGTGAAAGAAATATAACATGAATGTCAGTTAGCAGTCTCAATTTCTGTGGGTATTTTTGCACTCATAAAAAATCACATATATTTTGTACCTGTCATGAAGTACAAGATGTTATTTGCTGACGAAAGTTCACAATTAGAAGAACCGGCGTTTACCTCATCTAAAAACCTAGTCTTAGATCCTTTTATGCTTCAGCTGTTTTTCCTTTTGGTTGTTGGTTTTACAAATCTCACGAAATGTACTTATTCAGAGTTGCTTGGCAATCCTGCAAGTCTTTAAACTGTCACTTACTGGAAACTATGCCAACAAAAATAAAAGTTATTATTCTTCTCTTTGAACCTGTGTACATTCTGGAGGCAGTTCTTTGTTTTAATATTAAGATGCTCAGAGTATGTGACACCATATTATTGAGATGTACATTGTTCTAAAACCTCTTTATCAGCATTCCGTAATCTCTTCAGTGAGCAAACAGAGCCAGTCTAATTAATAATATCCATTTTCTTGCTTAAATTTTGATTTTTTTAAATATGTACAAGGAAAGAACACACCTGAGGATAACCAATCCATCAGCCCCCAACAGTAAGCGTAGATTACTCTCTCTTTAAGTTACATAGCTCAGAAAAAATACCTAGTATAAAAAATATACACTAGAATTTCAAACAGGTAAGGACATTTCCTGCACTGATACTCAATGACTAGCATTCACTGAAAAGCACGACTACGGAAACGAAAGGACGTGGCACACAGAATACCGAGAATCATGACACTGACATAACTTGCCTACGGACAGGGATCAGGTAAACACCACGCTGCAAGCACAGCGTAATCCTGGGCTGTGCACGGGCTGGCTTACAAAGTCATTTGTTTAAGTTGCCAGCTGGCTAAGAAACAGAAGCCTTGCGTGGCTCAGCAGGGAGAACACGTGAAAACCTGGCTGGTCATCCAGACACTTGGCTTTGGCCGACCCACAAAGTGGCACGGCAAAAGGACAGGTCAAACAAATTGGCGAGAGGAGACAAGGCACCGAAGGAGGAGTTGGAAACGCTGCAGGCATCTGGCTTGATGCTGACAAATTGATGCTTCCAGTTTCCCAATTCCCAACTAGCACCAGAACCTTTGTATAGCCCAAGATCCTAAATTTCATATGGATACACCTTCCTGAAAGTCCATTTGCTACACCATTTGCGTTTACTGGAATGAACAAAAAACAGAGTCTTAAATAATTTCCTTAAATGCTGAAATGTTCACAATTCAAGTTAAACATCCATTCAACAATCTGAACAAAGGCCAGTTTATCTTTACTGTGCCTGTTGTTCGGATTGTATGAAAACACCTATTATGGCAACCAGTCTAAAGTTCTGTACACAACAATATTTTCCACATAATTAAAAACTATCTGTCAGAAAGCTAAGCTGCTGACCTTTTGTACATTTGCTGTTGAAAAAGAGATGCCAGTCCATTTTTATTTGTAATCAAGAAATAACTGGAAAAAAACTATTTAAATTGGACTCTGATAAGACACAATATCTGGGTTTCTTTGGCGTTGAACTACAAATTAAATAGAAGAACACATCAGTGTTATATATACATAATAATATTTTTGCCTCCTGTTAAGACTCTCATTAAACTGCAATCCTCAATTTTTAGTAAAAAACAGATAGGGAGCATATCAGTGTACAGACAGAAAGTAGTCACTTTTACAATCCAAAGATATGAAATATTACATTTTATTTTACGTCACCAGAAGAAAAAAAACACTGCTACTAGATTTTTAAAATTCTTTTAAATTCAGTTCAATGTATAATTTATGATGAGGTTCTAGGCAAAAAAATGTAATTCTCCCGAAGATGGTAAACAAATAAATAATACAAATTTCTTTAAGAAGCTTGCATTCTCAACACTTTCTGCAGAATTTCATCCTGACAACTTCGATGACTATGAACTCTGGAATATCCCAGCTGCGACACCTGGTAGAACTGAACAACTATAGAAAATTAGAGACAAATCAATGGACTTGGTTGCCCACAAATCCATTTCTCTGTTCCAAATCTTACTCGGCAATTTTAAAAGTGCAGGAGAGAAAGAATGACAATATTGAATGAATAATTTAGCTGGAAGATTCCAACTAAAGGTCATTAATTGAGCAGGTTTTGAAAATTCTCTTCAGATAAAAATTGTGTGATTCAGTTCCTGGAGACACTGCAGTCTTGAATTTGGATTTCTGTTTTATATATTTTATTTTTTTAATGATCATCCACTTCAACAATGTCCAGAATCACATACGTATTAGGTTTCTCTGTCACCAGAATACTTTTGACTGGTCACTGCAGGCTTCATAGTTGCTAAGCAGAGAGACTACTTCTGCAGAACAGAAACTGCTCTCCTTTGGGCTTGGCCTCAGCACAAGAAAATAAATTTGAGATATTGATTTAAAAAAACGCAAACCAGCTCATTCACTCTTTGGATAGAAATGCACATAGCTTAACTACTACAGGTAAACACAGAGAAGATGAAAATGTTAGAGCAATCATTTTAAGAAGACTCAGGAGTTGCTCGAAAAGCAGTGTGTAGAACCAAGGAGTCCTGAGCAGGGCAAGATGTAAGTCACCCAGCTGCATCAGGCAGTGAATCTGCTGGTGAGTCTCAACAAAACCACCACGTTATTTAGCAAATGACATTTTGTCCGGATCCCTCTTTTAATATACAAAATACAAATTACGCAATATCACGGCTATACCGCTGAACTTATTAAGCCTTGGACACACTAATTTAAAATTGATTTACTTACTAAATAACCCACAAATTGAATCAAGGGCTAAGAAAATTGGAGAAAAAGCATGGAAAGCAGTTGGAGCTCAGCCCATCTGCTCACATCTTTGAGAGGGAGATGCACTCAGATCCAACTTCCATTAAGTGAAGACGTGCCAGGAAGTGACCTTTAATTTAAATTAACAGTATTTTTCTTTATTTGACTTTGTGGGTAAAAATTCTTATGAATGATCTGACAATAGTGTTATTCTCCACATTAACATATTACATGTGGAGGCCAAAATTCAATTTTCACGTGCTCCCTGTTCTGTGACTACATTTATACTCAAGTGATCAAATTCCTTTCCAGAGGCTAGAGAAGGGAAGTGAGTTGCCCCTTAAAATTGAATTTACTACCCTCTCCTTGCAAGTCTCTCAATCAGCTGAATATCCTCATTTAAAAGTTGACCGGGTCTCCCATTTTCAGAAGTATGCAGACTGCAACTAGCTGTCAGGCTTTTTACGTTTCTCCCTATCAGATGTCATCTTTTCTGCCTATAGCAAAAGGACAAATCTTTCTTTAGCATTAATCCAGCAAAACTTCTCAACTACCGACCCTTTTATGACAGGGTAATATTTCTAGAATGTTTCGAAAAAACCAAGCATATGTGTTGAAAGCCAGAAACTGACTGAAATACAACTGAAAACGTAGTTTTATTCCTTTCCTGAAGTATGCTAGGCTGGTCACCCGTAGCATTTCTGCCATTAAGTTTTTTACGTCGCTTGGCACAGTTTTAACAGATACGCTGCAGAAATGAAAAACTGGATGCACTGCTTTAAGATTAAAATCCCCTCCATACTGAGATTTAAATGGAATTGGCAGTTCATATTAAAGAACCACTAAATTAATACCATAACATGCAGACAAACACTTAGCTTATGAATTCTCCCTCTGTCATGATGCCATTTATTTCTGAGTGATACACAACTACTTTCCAACACTTCATTACACTGTACATCAGAGATGTATTAGCATTTCAAAAAAGAAACATAAAAGCTAAAATCAATATTATCTAAAAAACTGTGAGTTTTCTACAGATAAGAAATTAGCTATTTGTAGCAAAACTTCAAGCTTAATGGCATAAATAAAATTTGGTAAATTAACAAAAATTTATTATTATAATTATAAGATTTGCATATAAATGGAAAGAATTAGAATGCTATTTATAAAGAAAATACTGAAATTAAAAATGGTTGCAAAGAAACTATGCCCTTAGGGTTCATTTTCTGACTTATGAGGATAGCTTATATTGCAGGGCTACTGAAATTGTCAAGCTTAGTTCACCTCCAAAGCAAGAATGTCCTATAAAGACCCCAGATGTGACAGCTCTTGAAGACATATAGGCTAGTTTCCCATACAATTGAAATAAAATTCCATTCACTGTAAGAAAGCAAAGGATTTCTTTTTGTCTGCATGCAAATTTAGCATCTGAGGGGGAAAAAACCCACAAGTATGTAAAAAGAATAAAGTATGTAAAAGAGTAAATTACAATATGAAATTAATAATTCTGAGAAATTAAGGATTTGAAAACAGTATAATAATTCAAACTAAACCAAGTTCATTGCAATTCTTCTGCGACAGAAATATTGTGCACCACAAGTTAGCTCCTTCAGGACACAACTCTAATTCTTTCACAGAGATTTTGTAATAATTTCAAACTAGAAACTAACTATAAGATAAACTATTTTTAAAAAGGAGCTTGTCAAGTATCTGCACCTTGTTCAATGAATCTGATTTGGGCTGGTTTTGTTCATGCCACTTAGCTTTAAATGAATCTTAATTTCTTCCTCTTGTGTAATAGCATGGGCCCAAAGGAACACATTAAATCTTCTATTGCTGCCTACTGGCAAAGAACTAGCAAATGAGACTCATTTTACAAGCAGAGCTCATTTTACAGATGCTGGTAGCTGATAAGAAGTACTGAAATTTGCTTAATTCTTGCATAGAGGGTTAAGAAAGGTAATTCCAAATGTCATACATTAACATCCTCCAGCTATTTTAACCCAGATCAGGACTAAACCAAAACAATTTGTGATGAATTTCTAAATCTCAAGCCCAAAAGAGGATACTGAAGGAGAGAGTTTCCTGATCCCTAATTTTTAAGGACATATAATAATGAAATTCCTCTCATCTCCTTTGTCCTCATCTGGTGACTCATTCGCTGCAGACATTTGTGAATAAGAACACTGGGTACGGCTCAAGGACTAAATATTATTAGGTTAATAAAAATAGTCATTTAATAGTTCCTGACACCGAGGACTGCTTGTGTTCCTCTGATGTAGTAGCAGTCACTGCTATTCCACGGTGTGAGAGACAAATCCAGGGTATCAGATTTGAGTCCCGCATAGCCACAGCGGACTTGATCAAGTATCACATAGAATGTCAGGGGTTGGAAGGGACCTCTGAAGATCACTTAGTCCAGCCCCCTGCCAGAGCAGGATCCCCTAGGGCAGCCACACAGGAACGCGTCCAGGCAGGTTTTGAAAGTCTCCAGAGAAGGAGACTCCACAGCCTCTCTGGGCAGCCTGTGCCAGGGCTCTGTCACCCTCACAGTAAATACATTTAGGTTGAACCTTCTGTTTTCCAGTTTGTGACCGTTGCCCCTTGTCCTGTCACTGGACACCGAGAAGAGTCTGGCCTCATCTTCCTGACACCTGCCCTTTAGATATTTATAAACACTGATGAGATCCCCCATCATCTTCCTCTTCTCCAAGCTAAACAAGCCCATCTCTCTCAGCCTTTCCCCATACAGTAGGTACTCCCGGCTCCCAGTCATCTCATTTCAGCCCTGTTTTCACTAATTGAGGTGTCTGCCCCTTCCTTTAGCTACACAGTTCAGCAAATGTTACAGTAACAGTACTTGCGTACTGTGTAACAGTTCTTTGAAAAGTCAGTGATGTGGTGCATTTGAGAATACATACTATTTACAAATATTTCTAGGAATTTTCTGAAATCAAGTAGTGACGGCTATTTAGTACTGAAACCTGCAGCCAAACTTGCCAAAAGTGATTTGCAGAGGAAAGTACAATTTTCCATCTTTCTATCCTGTAACATCCTTAGATGTTTTAACTCAGTGACTTAAAATGGCCTCTCCATTTTCCTCACATGTCACACTAGATATGCCATATCAACACACGCACCACCCTAATTTAAACCAAAAAACAAGCTGCCAAGGGTAAATGCAGAAATGACATTAATGCTCTGGAGTATTACAGCTCTTACAACATCTCAATTGTTGACAATGTTACTATACACAGAAAGGATTTTTGTCATTATTCAGTCATAATAAACAGTGTATTTCATTGGAAAAATAGGTGTATGTGTATGATTTATGCTTAGTTGTCAAGAGACTTGGAAAATTCCATTATTGTAAGAATTCCCCTAGGCAAGTCACAATTTTGTGGAAAACCTGCTACTAGCTGTGAACAGCTGTCTTTCAAAACCTGCTCTAAAATTACTGTCACACAAAATGCAGAATCAAAACCTCCTTAGCTTAGTTTTGCTTAGTGAAATTTCAACACTTAACTAAAGACAACCTGAAGAGCCTGCCCTTGGTTTGATACTTCATTTTTCCTGGATGACACACAACTATTATACCTAAACATTCAGAACCAAACCAGCCTTCTATAAAATTGGATCCCACAAGCATCTTCAAGTTCCTTTGCATGATATGATGTTGCTCTACTTCCTAGGTCTTAGCCATATAGACTAGAACACCCCAAACCAGTTTGGGATTACAAGACCTTTCACAGTACCACCAACAGATATGCAGGAAGGGAAGAAAGCTTCATAGTATTTACGTATTAGGCAGTCAATATTCCTATAGTCATCACAAAGCCTATATATCATTTAAATCCCACATAAATTTGATCTTACAGGCATGAGCTACGCCCTACTGAGTCTTGGAAGTACTTCCATTTTCTTAGTGCTAACCAATATTTACAGTACTTCATGCTATTCAAAAAGAATCCAAGGGGATATATGGTATCAATAAATGGAGCTATACAACTCTAACTTCATACCAGAAGTAAGATGGTAACAAGTTAAATGCAAAAAGCCTACTTGGACAAATGGTTACATCCCATAGACATTTGTAGGAAGGTTTAAAAATAGGAGTAAAGACATCTCAAGGCATTCACATATTATTACTAATAAATAACTCTACTGAAATGACACATACTCCTGTAGCAGTTTTTATGTAAATCCATTGCCAGAGCTACTGTTTAGTAAGTGTGAAAATGCTGAACTCAGAAAACTGCTCAAGGCTATAAAAGAAATCTGTATCAGAAATAGAAATGGATGTTTCTTGCATCATGCTTTGCTCTGTGTTTTTCTAAACACAATTTAAACTACTATTATTTCCATTTCATGAACCAATGGTGTCTGGGTGACAAATAAGAAATCTTCAATGTAGAGGTTAACTTACATTCCTCTTCCTTTGGATCGAGTTGTGTAACACTGACAGATAAGCGATCTACTCGTTCTTGTAAGGAGTTGACTCTAAATGAGAAACTGTGTGCTTCATTGAAAAGTTCACCAAATATATCTTCAGCATATTTACCTGAAATAGGAAAAAATAACATTTCAAGCACATCACAAGGCAGTCAAATGAGTTAGCCTTGAAAAAGATTTCTATTTTAAGTAAATCTAAGAGGCACGAGTAACACTTCTAACAGTCTGTACTTAGTGAGTTCACTAAGAATGCTTCAGAAAAGGAAATAAAAGTTAAATATTTAACTTGTAACTTATTTATCAGAAATGAAATTTATTTAATAGATTACAGGACAGATATTCAGCTTATATATATATAACTATGATGATATGTAAGGAATTAGACTGTTTATTTTCTTGGGTATGTATAAAAGGATGATTTCCAGCATCTTAAGCTGCTCATGTATGAAGAACAACGCAAGTGAAATTTATTTCAGCATTTCTTAGAATGAAGTACAGTTTCCACTACTACTCTTTAAAAGACCTTTCAAAAATAGAAGATCAGGTATTTATATCTAGGTTAGTTAGAACCATCGTATTGAAAAAATACACACCAAAATAATAAACTACACTTCGAAGGATCAAAATTCTAGTAACTGACTAATTTATACTTAAGTAAAACAAGAATCTCCTTTGTTCAACAGGCATCAGACATTTAGCACAAAAGAGCAAGAGTTTCAGGTATTACGAGAAAAGGATGAGTAATGAGCTTCTCTTCTACAGATGTTGTACTCTGTGTAGTGCTTCTAATGCATCCCAGACTCAAGCAGTCTGCTGACGTCACCGAAAACAAACCCACCACACTGCCCAGCAAAAATTGTAGCCACATTTCTGAAATACCATATGATCACTTAAAAAAATTTCTACCATACTGTGCACATGTAATTTCTGTGCTGTTTGTGCACTTAAGGTTCATTTTGGAAGTATAAATCCCATGAATTTCTACCTTGTTTGCACACAAGTTCTGACAGATACAGTAGGAAAGGATAGTTATGAAAACTTTGCCTTTGGTGCACAATAAATCTGAAGTATATGTAAAAATGAGGACAATTTCAAATACAGACTTCAAAAGAATGAAAATTAAATCCCTACAGGTAGTGTGGAAACTACTTAAAGATACCATGTGGTTAGCACAAGACTAGCACATACCATTTATTAAGACTTAGGTAATGGCAATAGAAAACCAGCACGACTATAAACACCAGAATATAAAAGGGGATATTAGAAGAAAGGTACAAATGAAGAAAATAGAAAGGATCATAAATTCTGGCATATTAAACATAAACCCCCAAAACTAGCCTGAGGAACAACTCTCAAATGAATAATACATATTTCTTCAAAGACATGAGGAGAAAGAAAGCCTGCCAAGAGTCTGTAGAGCCAACTGGTAATGAAGGTATAGAGGAGTACTCAGAGAAGACAAGATCACTGCAGACAAGCTAAATGAACTCTTCCTCAGGTGTTAAGGGAAAAAAACTGAAGAGATCCTCATGCCACAATCTATTCTTTGTGGTCAGCTCAAAGAAACTGAATCAAAATTACAAAAGTAAATTGACAAAATGACCAGCAAAACATTAGTAACAATTCATAAATCTCCTTAATACATGCTGAAAGGTGGCAAGCACACCAGTAAGGCTCAAAAATTCTTTCATGGAACATGTTGAAAGCTAAATGCCTGTAAGACTGACATCCAGACAAAATTAGTCTAAATCATTGTGAAGAACCATATTAGCAAACACCTGTATGAGTTGCTGAAGAGACAACACAGCTTTTTTAAAGTTAAATCTGTTGTGGTGGGTTGACCCTGGCTGGACACCAGGTGCCTATCAAAGCCACTTCATCACTCCACCCCCTTAGCTGAATAGGAGACAAAATATAATGAGGTCAAAAGTCAATATGACAACAGAAAGACCACTCAGCAATTACCATCATAGGTAAAAAACAGACTTGACTTCAGGAAATTAATTTAATCTACTGTCAAACAAAAGCCAGGTTAGGGAAATGAGAAATAAAACCAAATCCTAAAACATCTTCCCCCACTGCTCTCTTCTTCCCAGGCTTAACTTTACTCCTGATTTTCTCTATCTGCTCCCCACTAGTGGCACTCAGGGATGGGGGAATGGGGGTTGTAGTCAGTCCATCATGTTGTCCCTGCTGCTCCTTCCTCCTCAGGAGGACTCCTCCTCACACTCTTCTCCTGCTCCAGCGCAGGGAGACATGGGAGACAGTCCTTGAACTTCTCCAGTGTGAGTCCTTCCCACGGGCTGCAATTCTTCAACAAACTGTTCCAGCACGAGTCCATTCCACAGGGTGCAGTCTTCAGGAATAGACTGCTCCAGCGTGGGTCCTCCACAGGGTTACAAGTCCTGCCAGCAAACCTGCTCCAGTGTGGGCTACTTACTCTTTCCAAGTCCTGTCAGGAGCCTACTCCAGCACAGGCTTCACATGGGGTCACAGCCTTCTTCTGTCATCTACCTGCTCCAGTGTGGGGTCCTCCACAGGCTGCAGGTGGATATCTGCTCCATCATCAACCTCCATGGGCTGCAGGAGGACAGCCTGCCTCATCATGGTCTCTACTACGGGCTACAGAGGAATCACTGTTTCGGTGCCTGGAGCACCTCCTCTCCCTCCTTCTTCACTGACCTTGGTGTCTGCAGACATGTTTTATATGTCCTCTCCTCCAGCTCTTGTTCCCCAGCATTTACCTCCCACCCCGCTCTCCCTCTTCTTAAATACGTTATCCCAGAGGTGCTACCATGGGATCAGCCATAGCCAGCAGCCAATGTTTGGCCTGTAGCCACCTGGCACTTGCTCTATTGGACACAGAAGCTTCTAGCAGCTTCTCATAGAAGCCCTCCTGCTACCAAAATCTTGCCACACAAACTCAGTGCCTCTCTGAAGTGTTTATAAGCACATGGATGGAGAGCTATCATCTATTTAGATTTCCACGACAGTTTTGAAAGGCCCTAATCAAAGCTTTTTCAGAATACTTAGCAGCCAGATCATAAAAAAGACAAGACATAGCAAGGATAAATCATCCCTCAAAAGGTACAGAATAGAGGATAGGAGTAAATAACTGGTCCTCACAGTTGAGAGAAGTGAGTTTTCATTGGTACTAGGACCTATACTATTCAAGATAACCATAAATGACATGAAAAACCAGAGATTTAAGTTTGCCAACAATACTAAGTCATGCGGAAGAAACACACTGAGCATTGATAAATACACAGAACCTCCAGCTGGCTGAAGAAGAACTGGAAAGAGTTGGAGGCTGCGAGATTAGTATGGAGTATCCTACATGCTTGCCTTGCTCTTTTCTTGGAGCATCTGCTATTAGCCACGGAGAGAAGCAGATCAAAGGTGCAGGCGTCCTTAGAACCTTTGTCTTGAAGCACCAGGCCACAGTAATATAGAGGAGAAAAGTCAGTAGAGTCTACTTAGGTGGCAACTCACCTAGCGTAAGACTTTCTAATATATGTCTTGAAACTCTGAAAAGTTTATGTTCTTTAACCTGTATCTGAAGCAAGAGAAATTACTTAATAAGGTGAGCCAATAAGAGCAAGATTACTAAAGTTTTAATATACATTTATTACAAATGTAATGTATTTCAGGTAATATATTTAGATATATTGTTCAATTTATTTAGACAACTCACATAGTATTCAGACATGCAAACTAAAAATCAAGTGTAAAATTTCATATGTAGAGCTCTAAAATCCATCAACTTTTACAGGTTTTATCTATATCATTTCATCAGGCTTACAATTCATCTACCTCATTAATGAGTTCCAATTGCAAATAATCTGTCTCAAACATCTTTTCAGCATGTCACACGCAGCTGCAAACATATTGCACAGAATAATTTGCCTGTGCTTATGAACACTAATCCTCAAACAGGAAATACATTAAAAACAACCTGTCGCATTTGAAGTGCTAATGCCAACCACAATGTCTCTACCTACATGCCTGTTGGCAATCTCTTTGGCTTGAAGTCTATTTAACTAAATGCTTTTTCCAGCTAAGCAGAATGTTTGCTTTTAGTGAATTTTACAACTTCCCTTCAGAAGAACAATACGTGTGAACATGTATGTGTATACAGCACTTATAATTCAGTTTGTTTATGTTGCTGTCTCTGTGTGTATTCCACATAAATACATCTTCAATTTTGAATGGATTACAAAAGATATGACTACAAGTGATAACACTGATCAAAGTGTTAAAAACTCAAAGAAATATAAAAATTACATTAGTAAACAAAGCTGATCTCATTCCACTTAATTTATAGGTAACATGTTAGAAGAGTAAAGAATCAAAACTAGTTCCATTATATAGAACAAATATTCCAATTATTACTAACATTTCAGAAAATTTACATCATTATGGGTCTGTTTTATGAAAACCTCGTTTCACGCAGTACAATAAAGAAAATGGCAGATGACTATGACAATTAAAATAATAATGCCTTAGGATCTTGATCACAGCTGGATAAATAATATCAGATTAGAAAGACCAGTCATCTTGTTTGCCTATTAATGACAATCCAGACTTCTACAAATAAATTATGTCAGCATCTGTGAAAAGCTTATTTTACTGTATTTGCACAACTTGCTTAATTGACTAGAAATATACCAAAACTTGCTGTTTTCAAAAGGCAAGTCATAATCTCTCCAATACTTCTAGCTGCTCTTCTCAGGCCATCATACTGGCATTTATTTTTATTATCAGAGCACAAGGTTTTTTTCATATAAATAAGAGGATACATTATTATTTATTTTTAATTAAGGAATATATTATTCACTTTTTTATTCTTTCCGAACTTTTTCTCTTATCTCAAAGGGCTCTATTCACAATTAACCCTTTCGTAAGAAAGGGATACATCAACGCAGCTCCCACTGGTGTCAGTCAATGTCCTTTTAGATGACAACCAAATGTCTTGGAAGTAACGTACTGTCCTTCTCACAAGAACGGGCATGTGTCTTGATAGCCTTTTTTGAACAATTATTTTCCTGACATTTATAAAAGACCTATAAGCTGGAAAAAGAATAGTAGCTACTAGCTGAAAATAGAACA